CCAAGGCTCAGAGAGACTCCATTCACCCTCCTCTAAGAGCAGGTTTGAATTCAGAGTTTTCCTTCTCCTAGACCAGTTGCCATCCAAGGCTATAGAACCCAGTCTGTCCTGCTATTTACCCATAGCTGGAGGGAGAAGAAAGAGGATTCACACCTTTCCCAAGGGTATTAGCACGTAAGTGAATGTAATGGATTCGACTGGAATTCGAACTCGGCTCTCCGATTCCTCAATCCAAGCCGCTATCCATTACTCCACCGTGCATAATCTGGATACTTAATTAATGTACATTACATGATTATGCGTGTACATGTTCGAATGAAAGCAAATCACGTAATGTGCACACGTAATTTATGTATATTACATGATTACATCATTATGGTTATACGTCATCGACTAGAAGCAAAGCCTGTAACCTGGACATGTAATTCATGTATTTTCCATGATTTACATGAATTTGCTTATACGCGTTCATGAAAGCAAAGTACTTAATCTCGACGCGTAATTTATGATTTCGGCTATACGCGATCGAATTAATGACAACATGAATTCAGCAAATATTACTGATATTCTTTTTCGTTCTTTCAACAGATAATTATTTTTTTTCCCTGAGATTTCTATTTTAATCCCTACTCTACATTTCTAAATTATTCAAATAAAAAGCAACAGTAGCCGTGTGCCAAATGCATTTTACTAAATTTTCACAGGAACCCACAGACGTTACTTCATATAGAAATAGGCACAGGGTGTCTCCAACATTCTATGTAAATGGAAAATATATCCGTCACCAGTATCTGGAGACAGGCGTGAACTGAAACGACATGTCACCAATATACGACCGACAACGTGTTTATTAAATAGTGATTCATCGTCAGTCATATATCCAATGATGTAGTGAGTGATATATATTCCTTAGTAAAAGCATAATATATATATATATAGAATAGGAGTGAGATATTTGTTTAGTGTTAGACATTCAAAAGAATTACAGTTCAGAATTCTATTGTTGTGTTTCATCTTTCGGAATATCGGTTGTAGATAGAATAATAATTAGAATTAGGGATCGAGTTTCTTTATTTCAAATCGGAGAACAGACCATAAGCGAAATCAGCACCGTTTGTATTTGTAGTCAACTGCTGAGAACTCGTATTTAAAAATGTTTTCATGGGTAAATTCACCTAATCATGCGTATACTTAAATTATGTATTTCGATTATGTGCTTAGCTTTCATTTGACCGTGTGTAAACTGACATGTTCTTTTGAACAAAACACTATGTGGTTCTGTGGTAAAGACAGGCAGCTGAATGAATTACAGTAAATTACATGTACATTAAAATTAACAAAGTACAGAAAGAAAAGTGTTATTATTAAGCAATAATTATTACTTATTAAGAGAGTCTTACAACCCTCTCTATATCTTTTATCTAATACTGCTCATAGGCACTCATCATAGGCGATATATAACCTTATATTTCTGAAGGAGACTATATGGTTTTATATGCCAGGTAAAATGTTTGCTTGCTGAAGTGTATTTACTGCGAGATTAAAGTGTAAACACGACAAATGTTTATATATAGACTCAAGTATAAAATTGATCAATGTTGAACTGTATACACTCAAGTGTAAATAAGACCTATGTTTAAAATAGACTCGCTTAGAAAAGCGACCCATGTTTATAAATAGACATAAAGTATAAAAACGAACCATATTTACTCCTGGATTCAAATGTAATAAAGAAAAAAAATACAGACATTAAATAACCAATGGTTGATATGTCGTTAAATCTAGCAAACTAACCTAAGCTATTGACCTGGAAACAATGACTATGTCACAAAACAAAATATTTTATATACCGCTAAATTCTAACACGGTTATTTTATTTCTACCACATAAAATATAGAAAAAATACAAAGACAAGAATTTTTAATTACATTATTATATCCTTGGGAGTAAGGAAGACTTATTCTGATTTTCGTCTTGAGGTTTCAGAATCCATTTATATTAAGTCCTTCCCGCCGTCCCTATACATGCAAAAGAAGTGTCTTTTAAGTTTGTAAATAACCGTTGATTTTTCTATAAAAAAAAAACGTGGGTATTGTATGGTACATGTGAAGTCACAGTGGAGTAATAGAGTAATTGATTGGGCCTCGGATTGAATAATCGGGGAACCGAGTTCGAATTCCAGTTAAGTTCATTACATTCCCTTATGTGAATGAAAAAAGAGGGATACTTATAGGAGACATTGGTACTACTGAGTAAAAAAAAAAACGCATAACCTACCTCACGAGTTGAGTAAATGGATGGTGGAACAAAGTTTAGGAAAGATAACAAAATGAAAATATTTATTAAGAGATACAAACGATGGATTCAAAGAAATGGATTCATTTCTTTCCCAATGATAATACACTTTGGAAAGGCATGAATTCATCTCTTCTGTCCAAGCCCCCAGCTATAGATAAATAGCAAGACAGACTGGGTTTTATAGATTTTGGGTGGCAAACGGTCTAAGAGAACTCAAACCAGCCTGGAGAAAGTTGGGTTTCGTCAGGCTATCTTACCCAAGACTTCCCAAGGATAATACACTTTGGAAAAGTATGAATTCATCTTTTCTCTCCCAGCTATAGATAGATAGCAAGACAGACTGGGTTTTATAGATTTTGAGTGGCAAACGGTCTAGGAGAACTCAAACCAGCCTGGAGAAAGTTGGGTTTCGTCAGGCTATCTTGCCCAAAACACACCACTTCTACTACGGTCATTATATATGGGTACCCGTATGACACGAAATAATTACGGGACTTGTGATCAGGATAGTACATGTGCGAGTGTGCATGACAGGCACATATCTATTTGATACAATTTCTGAGTAAATGTATTATGTATCTTGTATGTTGGTATGTGTTTGTTTCTATATTTTCAATGAGTTTCTCACGGAATTCGGTTAAAATATAATTTTGCAACGTTAGACAATACATCGTTTTCCTGTGTTTCATTTTCAACATCTGGTGGTTATTTGGTTTAATACATTCTCATTTATTTCTCGGTACACGGTATACGCTAGCCTCTGCGCGTTAAATTTCTACATTTCACACACTAAATAGCGGCAACGAAAGAATACACCAAGCAGTTTCGTGAGCGAGAACGGAGCATTACTATTCTCACCCTTGGTGTTTCATGACTGGGATTTGCAAACAAAGTTAAACCAAAGGTGATACCGGCAACGTGGGACTGAGCAGCTATTGATAGATCGAGGGCAAAATTTACAGCCAGCGGAGAGACCCAGAACCTCAGGGAAAACATCGTTATCCGAAAACGCTGCCGCTATCAACAGAAATATACTAAGACCAATAGAGGGCTTGCCTCCGGCGCAAGAACATCATGTTCAATTACTGGCAAAGGTTGAAGTCTGAATGAATATCATTAAAAACCAAACTTTCCCATTGAGTGGGGTCACACAAGCCTCCCTAATACAGATTAAACTTAAAGAAACAACTATTGTCTCGAATTTCTGGTAATTTTACTGTTTTATCTTTTTGTTTTTCTATATGCCGTCTCTCTTCAGGACGTTGGCGAACACGGCTCTCCACAATTTCCTGTCCTGTACACGTTAGTACATTTTGTCTTTTTGCTATCTCTCCTAAATCTTCTTCTGACATCCATTTGAAGAAACTGGTTAGATATGTTCTGTTCCTCTTACTTTCGATATGTCCTGTGAGTGTCATATTTTCCAAACCTTCTTTCTTCATTATGTGTTCTAAAATGTTCAACTGTCTCTTTCTGATGTTATGTACAAATGTATTTTTTGTTTTTTTTTCTCTAAAATTTAATCGTTGCATAGATGTGCAGTCTGTGGTATTCTCAGCATCCTTCTGTAGAACTACTGTTCCCTTCTCGCTTCTTATCATGGAGGAAATTATCAAGCAATCCCTCCTAGATAGGAAGAATGATATTATATAACAGTTAAATACTATTTTCTTTGTTTCTAATCTTAAGTACAGTACAAGAAACAGGAATTAGTGACCATGACCTACAATATATGTATATACTACTACAACTACTACTCATTCATTTAAGTCGGTTATGTGCCATGCATGATACATGTTTCTTTCAATACATGACTGATGAGGCAAATTTTTTCCTGCAGTAGGTTGCCATTTTTCTACAGTTGCCATTCAAGGCTATAGAACACGGTGCCCAATTATATATATATATATATATATATATATATATATATATATATATATATATGATTCCTACGCTACATAACAGTTCTAATGTTTCAAAAAACAGGAGCCAAGAATTTCAATATAATTAAAATTAAATTGAATTAAAGTATCAAGCTCTGTTTCATCCTCAAACGATACTTACTTTTGTATTCAGCACTGTTTTTAAAAATAAAAACAAAAATACTAAAGAACTTCGGATTATTTACCAAACGTGTTCTTACCTATTTTTCTATATATTGGCGCGCGCACACACACACACACACGCACACACACACACACACACACACACACATATATATATATATATATATATATATATATATATATATATATTGATATAATGGAATATGCATACACCTGTGTTCCCCCACACTGGTATATGATTGGCTGGTGTCCGTCATAAATACCGACGGACGTGTAGGTACGACAGTATGAAGAAGAGCCTTAGTCTGAGAGCTAAGTCTATAACGACGCCCATTGGACTACGCCAATGATCTACACTTCTTGAGACTATCAATCAAGATTGGATGCCTGAAGAGTGAATGAGCTAAAATTGACGGCAATGTGGAATTATTGCATCAAGTTCACGTGAATCTTGCCAAGCTCATCAACGTTCGCATCACAAATGATGGAAATCATACTGAAGATGTTATTTGTTAAAATTCAAATTCACTAAAATGTTGTTGAAAATTTCATTTTTGCCTATGTATCCAATTTTTAGAGACACCCTTTACATACTTAACCAAAGAGAGTGTTGAACTGTCACAAATGAAAAAAGGCTTATGGCTATATCACGTTGAAAGACCTGTTCTCGTACGATCACCGAAGTTAAACAACGTTGAGCCTAGTCAGTACCTAGATAGGCGACGGCTTGAAAATCATCATCACTCGACCGTAGACAGGATCATCGAGCCAGTGCGAACGAGCCTTTCTTTAGCTGTATAGTATGTTTTACGTCAGGGCTACACACAGTTTTGAATTTAGAGTTACTTTTTCGTATTGCCACCCAAGGCTATAGAACCCAGTTTGTCCTGCTATTTACCCAAAGAAGAACAAAATTCATACTTTTCCAAAGGATGTTAACCCGTAAGTAAATGAATTCCATCTGAAATTCCAACTCGGCTCAAGATTCCGATTCGCTATCCATTACCCCCACCGTGCTTCCAGTAGGTTTGGGAATACTAGGCGCTGTAATCTAGATTGTTGATAACACCTCGGAATTGGGAATTTATATTCATTTACGCTCAAATACCCTTGCGAAAAGTACAAATCGATCTCTTTACATCAAGCTATGGATTAATTAGTATAAATTGTAACACTATACCATTTTTATCTCGCTCAAAATTCGCCCAAGAAGCATGGTGGACTTTATGGCTTTACTTGGGAAGACATGATTTAAAAAAAATACAAATAGATAGAATTTTTTTTAAATCCGTGTTTTTATTGATTCTAGATGATTGAGACTGAAGTACACGACAAAAAAACATTTCTATGTAACGTGGTATCTGTAAAATGGATTCCCGGTCACCAGCTTATAGCTGCTCGAGTGGAACTTACATCTCACAAAAGGAATACGAAGGGAATGAAGGATGTTTGCTACAATAGGCGTAGCACGGCGGGTCCTAGCCGTGAAGGTTATAACTGGTGGAACTAAAAAATGGTGTTCGTCTCAACGCGGTGAGAGGTTTGCAATATTTCGTCTGAGGGGTGAGGTAAAAGAACGTAGAGACGCTTTTGGGCTATATCGAGATTGGAAAGTGAAGCAGCAGTACTCCATTTTCGACCTGATCTGGCTCTTGTAAAGGTAGAGGGTATCACGAGGTGTCAGTTGCATCTTTAGCGATAGATCTTATGTACGAGCACCACTTGAGGTCTGGGTTGAGCTTAGTTTAAGGCCTAATACACGCTCAAGGCACGGACCCACCCTGAGGGAACATCCATTCATCATATTGGTCATAGTTCAAGGTGTTATCGACTTTCATAGAATGTTAGTTTTGGTTTTTCGAGCCATTGAAGCTAGCTAGTTTTTCTCTCACTAAGATGTTAGTGTTAGATCAGAGGAAAGACCAGCTGCTAATCTTTGATCATCTAGCGTTATATAAAACAACAGGTAACACAAATTGGTTAGTGGTAAAAGAATAATGGACAGGATATTTCTCTTTATACATCCTTACAGACGGAGTTGGCCGGACAGTTTGAAAAGAGAAATTGTATTTGTATTTTCTACATTCTTTTTCTTTTACAGTGAGAGTCAGTCTTTACAAGGCCCGTGAGCCACTCGAAGTAGAGGGTTACGTTAAGAGGCTATTTGTATGTATAGGTGACTGAGATACTGATTAACGCTAGGCTTGAATAGGTTAAGATTGTAGTGATCGGAAAAACATCCTCTTGGGAGTCTGTTCCAAAGAGCAGATGTTCGTGGGAAGATAATGTTCGAGTGGAACTTACTTTTCACCGATGAAATATAGAGGGGATGCGGGTGGTTTGTAAGTGGCATGGCGTGTTCTTGCCATGAAGGTTTGACGTGACAGAACCGGGGAATGTGGTTCGTCAGAGCACTTTCCGTAGAAGTAGCGAGAGAGAAGCGAGTAGCTTGCCACATCCCGCTTATGGGAGAGAGGAGAATGATTCGTCATCCACAAGAGCTCGGAGACGCTTATTGAACTCTATCAAGGCTGGAGAGTGAGGTCTTGACAGCTCCTGTCCAGGTATGACAACAATACACCATTTTTCTCCAGATCTGATTCTTATAAAGGTAGAGGATAGTAGGAGGAATAAGGTACTTACTGGAGCAGTACAGGGAGCTGACCATTTTACATGCATTCTTAGTAACGGATCCAACCAGTGGACTTGAATTCTACGATCTTGCACCAGACTAAAATAGCTGAGTAAAAATCGCAACGAAGAATATGACACAGATAAAGGAAGAATGTAAAATCTGATGGGGGGAGTTAAACGTGATTATTAATAAATAAAAACTTCTTTTTATGTGCCATGTCATTCAGGACGTAGGCGATCATGGCTCTCCACCTCCCATTATCCCTTGCAGCTCTCAGCAAGTTCCTTCTCTCTGCTTCCTCTCCCAGACCACGTTTGGTCATCCACCTGCTCAAGCTCACCAGGTATGCCACATGCTCTCTCTCACTTTCCCTCTATTCGACCCATGAGTATCAGATTCTCCAGGCCCTCCTTCCTCATTATGTGTCCCAGAAACTTCAGCTGCCTCTTCCTGATGTTAAATATAAGCCTTCTCCTTGTTTGCAACCTCTCTAAGACCTCA